CAAATAGTATTCAAAACACTTAAAGTATTTTTCAACTGAGTAAATGATCAATTATCTGCATTTGTTCTGCATTTCCTTTCAAATTGGGCCATTAATAGAAACCCAGAGTCAGGAGGGATAAACAGCAGCACCTAAAAAGTATAATACTGCAAAGTAACAGAAATTCAGTTCACTATTGTATCTCAAAGGCATCCATTTCCCTGTCTAAAACTCTAAAAATGTATGACAGGACAAAATCTTTTAGCATTTATATTAAAGACTGGCTTGGTGCAATCCTGGAGGTTAGGATTTATAGGAGTTGGCTGTTCAAAGTACTGAATTTACAAGGAAAGTTTGCTGGAGGGAAAACATGCAAATAGGGATAATTTCAAACTTCAGTGGAATGTATAGTCCAGTCAACGTTGGGGAGATTAGCAAGGAATGGACTGGAGTTAAAGTCAAATTAGTGTTTGCTAATCCCCAATTTAACACTTCATGTTTAAAATTTAAGGGAATTTCATCTGCTGGTGTCTTTATGTTCAGTCAAGTTACAGGGTGCTATTAAAGTAAGAAGTGCTGCCCAAACGTCACACTGGAATAATGCAACGGGATCTGTTAACCACTATAATAACGAACAGAAATAAGTTTAACAAAAAAAAAAAAAAGGAAAGCAGATATAGTGGACTGATGGAGGCACACAAGGAAAGAGTTTAAAATGATCCAAGGGTAACGGACAAAGACGGGATATCTGGAACGTCACAAGAAAAAATAAGCAGAACACAAGGAGAAACCAGATTACAGATCGTGTAGAAATGCTGGAAATAAAGACACAGAGCTTAGCTTTTTTTTTTTTTGTCACTGTTAGTCTTTTATTGAGGGTTGTACCCAAGTTATACAGCTTTGTATGCTGGCTGCAGGAGCCAGAGGGTTACAAACAGTAATCAGTATACGAGTACAGCCAACAGAAGACCTACTAACTACTCTACACCTTAATACAGATTCTCATAAGAGCACTAAAATCCAGAAAATTAAAAAGAAAAATACAGAACAAACCAAGCGGAAAAGGATAAAAAAAAAAAAAGATTAAATGAACCCAAACATATAGACAGCATCAGAGGAGACATTCATTATTAGAGCACACTGGAGTTGGTTTTCTATACCACGTAATATCAGGCGACTTTGTTTTTTTTTTTTGTCAATTTATAACCATACAAATAAAGATTGTCCTTCAAAAAGTGCAGATTCAACTGAAGTTAAGATAAAATCCTTTGATGAGCAGAGGAAGACAATTGGAAGATGAAAAAAAGGTACTTCCTGTTGTGTTTTTTTTTTTTTGGAAAGGACGGCGTCCTCTCAATGATTATAGACACTGTATGCTTATATTCTTATATATATATTATATATAGTTTCAACAGTCTCCCCCAAAGCAATGTGCATAATAGGTTTAAAGGTGATCCAACTACACACTGTGGATTGATAGAATCTCTATAAAAAACATTGTAGTTGTGTAAAATTTGCAGTTTCACCGGCCAAGCTGGGAAAATAAATGGACTTTGCAAATCTTAACCTGTCCTCTCTCCTGCTACAACTGGCCTGACGCCTGCTAGGTTATAAAGGTTTATCAGGTCTTTTTTTTTCTTTGTTTTTATTTATTTTTTTATTTTAAAGATTATTAGAAGCAGTACAAGAAGTACAATTCAAAGATGGCACGTGTTTGAGGAACGTTATTGGGAATCCCATCTCAGCTGCGTTTCTAAAAAGGGATTTTTATATGATTTTGTTGGGTTTAATATAATTTAAAGATAAATAACCCAAGGTAGACATGGAAGCCTGGGTTCAACACTCCACTGCATAGTCTCTCTGAGCAACAACCCCCCGCCCCCCCAAAAAAAACCCCACCCGTCCCACTTCTTTGTGCTGGTTAGACTAAAGCTTTTCAGGGTTTTTACATGTGTGGTCATACTAAGTGTAAAAGAAAGACAGCAGATTCTCACAGTTTTTATTTAATTTTTTTTTTGTTTTTTTTCTTGTCAAAAAAATAGCCTTAGCACTTTTGATCGACTATAAGAGCCGTTGGGTGTGTTATGATATAATATAGCATTTAGTCACAGGATAGTTAAGAGAAAACACAACGAGTCACATTATTTGTACTTTAAATATATAAAAAGTAGTAGAGTATCACCAGCGAATCTCCTTCCCTCCCTCTTCCACCTTTCCTTCTTTCCTCCCCTCGTCTGGCCCTGTCGTGGAGCTGCTTGGCAGCTTTGGGGATTGTACTTTGCTCTTGGTGGTTTTCCTCTCATCATCCTCCTTATGCAAACATTTTTTTGTTGTTTTTTTTTCTTCAAGCATTTAAACATTGTCCAGCTTTTTAAATACGCATATGCACAAATACAGCTTTAGAACAAAAAAAACCTCTAAAAGTCAATCCCTTTCCTTCCCTAACAACCCTCCCTCCTCGATTTGGCATAAATTCACACACACACACACACACGCATCTTCACACACACCAACAGTGGATTTAACAAGACAAAAGATAGCACAACTCTGCTGAGAGCAAAAACTAAATTATTACTGAGAGGCATTTTTACAGACTTTGCTCATCCCTTCTCTAACAGCGCAGCAAAGCTACCCCCCCCCGGGCTGCTCAGAGATCAGTTATCGTCCCACTAAGGTTTAAGGTAAGGATACTGCAGTGGGGCAAAACCGCTCTAACATCAGCACTGGAAAATGTGCATTTAAAAAAAAAAAAAATCAGAATGACATAAGTAATCTTAAGTGAGCAGAAAAGGGAATATGGACAGATGTGGGCCGACTTGCTCCGTATTCTCCTGTCAGTTATTTTGGATCCTGTAAATTGAGCTTAGGGTTCGGATGTGGAAGAGTCCATTCAAGATAAGCCTGCAAGGAAGCAAGTGTGTCCCTGAAAAGCCTTACTGGTCACATCCTCTTGCCTGACTCGCAGAGAAAGGGGGCTTAGCAAAAACAAAACAGAACACCTACTTTCAGTCGCAAGCATCTCTCAGCCAGAATCGGACATGGCCGGAGACGCTGAAGGGGCCGGAGTCGTCGAACCCGAGCTCCGCTAAGCTCGTGTTAACCGTTTCAGCTACAATCAGGCGAGGAAAAACTAAGCACCAGTCTTGAGTCGCAGCTCATGCAAACAATAGTTACCCTGTTGCTGACAAACACCTGAAAACGAATCCTCGCCGTCTGAACTGACTCCAGTTTTTCCTCCAATCCGCCCGAGTGCAAAAATCCTAGGCTCCTCAGTTCAATACGTCAACTTAAATTAACTAAGAAAAAAACTGTTTCGACGTTCCATTTGATAACTTCAACGACACAAAAAAACAAAACACAAACATATGAATCTTTATATATATATGTAGTTTAAGCAAAGAGACGTGGAAATAAGTAAACTAATCTTTTGTATGATTGAATTATTTGGTAGAGAGCTTTCAATACTGGCACACACCACTGTCAAGTCTGGCTAATACTTGAGGTTTATTCACTACAAACGCATTTAAAGTCCTTTTACGTATATAGATATATATAATTTTTATACTAAGGAAAACACAACTAAAGCCAAAATATTTGTAGCTGTTCTGAAATAAAAACCCTAATCGGGGTGGGGGTGATAAATGTGCGCACTAACACACGTATAACAGGCTAAACACAAGAAGAGGAAGAAAATAAAACGCAAGATAAGAAAAAAAATTAAGGTCCATGGCTTCGCTAATGCTGATCTCTCATCCAACGTGCTCTGAAGCTTTTGCCTTGTTGCGCTAAAATTGTGCATCATAGTAACTCAACAATCACTGGTGTATAGGTAAATTGAATATTCACGAAAGTTTTCTCTTTAATCGACATTTACATTCACACTGTTTCCATTTTTCCTTTCTCCCCCTTTCTCTCACACAAACACGCACGCAAAACTAATTCACGACGTCAAACTTCAGATGAGTACTCCCCACCCTTCCCTGACCCAAAGGAGGGGAAGAGAAAACCAACCAAAAAAAAAATAAAACAAACAGTACAATACAATCATATTCTATTTGTAAACAGGTAGAAGCCACTTGACTTGTTGCATCTTCGGACACATTTAGGATCAAGGCAATGAAATGTGGACGACTTTTGCACTGTTAAAATATCTTCAACCATTTTTTTTTTTTTTTTTTACGTTTTTCCTTTTTAAACACCATTTGTGGCAATGATTAAAAGCATTAAACAAAAACAAGAGCATGTAGTCGTACTTAATGAAACATTTCACATAATTCTGAGACAGGGAACAAAAAAGAAAAAAAAAAAAAATGAAAAGAAAACCTCTCGGCAGGCCTTGTGTACGCGAGAGGCTACAGTATGCATAGATACAGATTTTGCCTTTTCTCTTGGTTTCTTTTTAAGTGACGAGACATTTTACACTCACACTGAAACAGTCCCCAAAGTTTTAACAACAATGGAGTGGAGGAGGAGGTGAGGGAGGGAGGGAGGGAGAGCTGGGATGATTTACAGTCCCTCCTCCGTCCATCCCACTCCCTTTACTGGGATCGCCCCCCCGTCCCTCAAAATAAAAATAAAAGACAGCATATTGAAAGCAGTGTGTGAGCTTCTCCAGCTTTAAAGCAGTTATTTGGCAGAGGAAAAAAAAATAAAGGAAAAAGTAAAAATAAAGACCTTTACATAGTTTTCAGTGCTAGATGTTGGATTTTCCTTTCCTACAAGGAGTAGTAGCTTTTTTTTTTTGTTGTATTTGTTTTAAATTCAACTACGAGGGGCGAGGGGAAACTGGCTTGATTTCCTGAGAACCATTGCTGGTTATTTAGCAGACAAGAGGAATAGTTTAAATAACCAACACCATGGCCAAGAAAAAAAAAAAAAAAAAAAAAAAAGAACAACACTGATCCGAATTCCCAGAGTTAAAACGCATCATCTTCATCCTCAAGAGGTTTTATTTTTGTTTTTTGTTTTTTTACTTTTTATAATTTTTCTACATATATTTTTTGTTTTTTTTTTGTAATTTTTTTTTTTGTCTTTTTAGTTTATCTTCTCTTTAAAATGAAGAATGGACACACGTTCTTCCTCCTAAGTCTTGTAAACAAGAGGTTGCAGTGTGGCACCTCCAAAAACATTGAAAGCCTATTCTGAAAGTGCTGTTCCCTCCCTGCTCCTACTAGGGGGCGACAGGGAGGGCTTGCTAGATAGGCCCCACCCACTTTCTTAGAGCGGGAGGGGCTTGCTAGTCCCAGCTGCGGCTACAGTCCTTTGCACTGCAGAGCTCAACTTTCTTTAGTTTTAAAACAAAAATTGGTGCAATACTTTTAAATGTCACTTTTTTTTCTATCACCAGATAATCACCTTTAATCAGGTTTTTATTCTTTAACTATCTGTTGATCTTGAACTCCACAACAACGCAGTAAGGTAGGCGTGCCAAGGCAGAGAGGAGCGCACACATAACTCATTCACAATGCAATCACGTACACACAAAGTACTCCATGCGCGCGCACACACGTACGATAAGGACCTCAATGAGTAAACAGCTACACTGGAAAAAACTGGCTGCTCCCTCTATATTGCAGATTATATATACTGAGAAAAAAACCACATTCAGTGCAAGTTAAAAAAAAAAAAAAAGAAAAAAAAAAGCACATACTCAAACATTGTCAGAAAACATGGCAAAAAAAAAAAGAAATAAAATGAAAATGTTGGAAAAAAAAAGAATTGGAATTCAAATAAACATGACGAATGAAACAAAAAATATATAATAATATTAATAATGAACTTGACTGAAGCTTTTTTCGGTCTGAAAGAGCACTACCTGGAAGCAAATATCCAACCGTTCACATTATAGAATTGGCCTGCATGATTCAAGTATTCCGACTGATATGTTTTTGGGCTAAAACAAAGTGGACATATGTGCAGAAATAGAAACGTAACTTGTATTCCACAGGGGAAACCCTGCTTTTGTTGAATATCTTGTAAGTGAGAAAAAGTCCAACTAGTGCCATTGCGTTTTTAACTACTGTTTTCTTTCCGTATCTTCAGCTGATTATTGAAAATTCTCTACTGACCCTTCTCCCCAGCCTGTCTGGAGCACAGGCGGTTCACATGGAGTCCCCGGCCCCTGTCAGGTGATCCACTGGGAGGAAGGAGCCGATTGGAGAGGGGCTGCTGACCCTCCCCGGCTCATTGCTGCTGGGGCTCCCCCACAGACTACTGGAATAGTTGGGCCCACCCCAGAGAGAGGATCTGTGCAGGTCGCCGCTCTTCCACTGGTTCGGTTCAGAGGCGCGGCTGGAAAAGGGGTGAGACTGATCCATTCTGCTTTGAGAAGAACCAATGGGCTGCCAGCTGGAGGAGGGAGTGGCCAATGACTGCCCTTGTGCAAAGAAGCGGCTAATTTCCTCCTCGCTGGCGAACTCGGCCAGTATAGTAGTGTTCCCCAAAACACACCTGCAGAGAGAGAGTTGACAAGGTTACTAGAGATCTTAGACAGCAAACAGCACCAATTTATTCCAAGTTAATCTTGGTTAGAACATCTTCAGTGTTGCATCTTCATTGACGTTAGAATCATACCTTAATGCAAATACTAAGGGACAAAGCATAGAGATAAATCCATTGGTTTGTCTGAGACTGGCTTTTGTCTCCTTGTTTAGCTTTTCAAAGTTAAAGTGTGTTTGTTTTCTGCTGGGATAATAACACCTGCTTTTCTGACAATCTGAATGCTTAAAATCTTGCTGGAAAATTCAATTTCTAACAAACTATTTAAGAGTTCAGAGATGTAAAGGTGGGACTATACTATACAATTTGTGTAGAAGTATTCCTACATCCTGAACTTTTTCACTCTGTCACAATCACCAACCACACATTTTGAACAAAGTTATACAAGTGGTAAAGAAAGGCCAGTTTCAAGAAGAATTCCTCCTTTAATTAACTCTGACCAGGTTCTGTCTGTGCTGAAGAAAAACTGTCCCACATCATGATGTGCTGCCTTTATGCTTTGACATGGGGATAGTGTAATTAGGCAGATGTAGTTATACCAAATATAAGACTCATCTATCATCTGCTGCTCCTCTACACATATCCAATATGTTACATAATAATAATAATAAAAAAAAAAACAGCAAAACTTTTCAATAAAGTACAATTTTGTGCGTCTCCATCACAGTTTGTTGCTGTGTGGTGGTCTTACATGTGCAGGCTCTTCTGGGCCTTGGCGGCTTCATCCTTTGAGCTGTAGCAAACCACGGCATTACCATGTGGCAGGTTGAGGTGGAATGTGATAAGAGGGCCATGCTGCATGCACAGAGTCCTCAGCGTAGATCCGTCAATCTAGGAAAACAAAAACACTTAGCCTAAATATTATGAGATTAGCTAAAAAAAAATTGTTTTTAAATTCACGTTTTTTTGCAGATTATTTCTATTTATTTAAACCACAATAAGTACCTGAGGTGTGAGATTTTTCAGAAAAAGCCATTGGGTTCTCCTTGAGCTGCTGCTGCTGCTGTCACCCCAACTGGAGCCTGTCAAAGTATATCATTTAAAAAGTCAGGAAAATGGGAAAAACATTCAAGTCGCAATGTTTCTTTTATCTGGACATAAGCATATGGTAAAAGGAAACCCAGAATAAGCTAAAATGTTTATCTCTCGAGTTCACTGACATCAATGATCTTAAAGCTCAGATTACTTTCAGTTTTCCTGGACTCTTCAGTTATTAAAACTAGACGTTATTTATCAATAGTCCCAAGTAGTTGTTGCATATGTATTTCTCCTACTTACTATAAGAACACTTTCCTGCAAATAAGATTACTTCCTGGGGTTTTTATCTTTGTATTAGTGATAAAGTAAATCTATCTATAGATCTATTTGTAATGGTTTCCAAGGGCTTATTAGTAGACTATGTTAATCCTTGTTGTTATACAAAGACAATGTTTCAGAGGTCAAGTTCAGCTGCTGTCTGGACAATGTGGTGTTTGTTCCTCACCAGGTGTGTATCTGGACTCAGAGGAGCTCCAACCTCCAAGCCTCAGGGCAGAGCCATCCCAGCCAGAGGAGGCAGGGCTGGGCTTCTGGCTAGTGAGGCCAGGAGGTGGTCTGGAGGGTGCTGCTACTGGCAGCGGCTTAGGAGACAGGGGGACCTTCCAAAGCTCGTGGGCTAAAGAGGAGTTGGACACAGAACCGCCGCCAGGAGACCACTTTGATTCACTGGGTCTAGCTGCAGTGGGAGACACAGAGGTTCATTTAAAAGTTGACCAAAGTTTTAAAAAAAGGAAGCCATTTTTGAACCTGAAACACACCTGAAGTGCTTTGTGCTGTACTGGTGAGGGAACCGCTGTGGCTGGAGGCACGAATGGATGACCAGGCACTGTTAGAAGGCATCGTGGTGTTCAGTGATGAGGATGGCCCTGGGAAACAACACAGCAGGGTTACTTCTCCTCTGTAGAGCTTTTAGAATGGATCTCAATGATGAATCTGTGTGACCCACCATTGTTCCTGTCCCTGAGGAGGTCTGTGTCACGGACGGTGTTGATGGAGAGGTTGTTGATGACACTACCAGGAGTCACATAAGGGTCCGTCTCAGGGTCAATGTTGGGGTAACCTTTCCAAGGCTCCCCAGGCCGGAACTCTGCAGAGAGAGAGTCGTCATTTTAATTAATCAAAAAAACATTAAAAAAAAAAAAGTATAAGGAAGCGTTATAAGCTTAAGGTGTTTTACCTGGGGGCCAAGTGACAGTATTTCCATGGGGAGGGGGGGAATTGGCACGGGGAGGCCAGCCATCACCCACAGAGCCCAATGATTGAACAGGAGGACTCAGGGGAGATGGGCCAGGCGACAGGAAATCATAGAAGGGAGAGTTGTCCAGACGGAGTCCAGACGGCATAGCACCTGTAGTAGAAGCAAACAGACAATCACTAAACACTCTACCTGCAGACAGAGGGGGTCCTCCGGATATTTAAGACCCCTAAGCTTTCAGAGATTCTGAGAAAATGTAAAGTGAAGATAACATGAGTCTAACGCTTCGCTGAAATCAATCTGTACTACTGATTAAGCCGTCACCTACCAGATTTGCTGTTCTGCTCAAGGGGGTCAACAGCCCAGAGTCTGCTCATTTTGGAACTGGATGCCTCTTTGTGGTTCATAGCTCCTCCATCACTGCTACTTCCACCCCCAACGACCATGTCCATGGTTACATTCTGGTTAGAGTTTAAGCCTGGTGGCAAGGGGGCGGAGTCAGAGGTCAGTAACAGCGAGGGAGTAAAAATATGTCACAGCAAAAATCGTGTTTCTTTGCATCCGTGTTGCCCACTTAAGTTACGGTTCCTCTGAAGTATCTCTCCGTCACATTTCCATAAATAGCGCTCAGCATTTTTAGTTGAAAGGGCTAAAGTTCGGTAGTCAACATACCAAAGGGGAAGTTGCTGAAGGATCCTAAGGTGTCCTTCTGTAGGTCAGGGGTATTCTGGGACAAGTAGCCATCATGGTAAGATTTGAGTTGCGGGGCCGGCTTCAGAAGGGAGGGATCCAGGTGCCGCGGTGGGTGCATCATCGATGGAGACGAACCAATAGGACGTGTCTGAGGAGGGAAAAAGAAAGGTTGGATGAATCCAGGGAGGAACCACTTTACAGAAGTTACTCCCTGGACTCCCGTCTCTCACCGGTTCAGTCGGACGTCCCACAGGCATGGCTCTCTGGTTCTGAACCTTTTGCTGTTGCTGATGCTGCAGGAGAAGACGCTGTGGAAGAATGACGCAAGCAAAGATGTAAACCACTGCAGCACAACAAGAGAACTAACTCTGAATGAAGATTTCTCCCCATCTAAGTCCCCAATTCTGTACCTGCAAGTGGTTGAGCTGTGACAACTGATTGAGCTGGTTGAGTACAGCCACATGCTGACCCAACAGAGGGTTCAAACCACCATTAGCTCCTGGGTATTTCAACAGAGATGGAGGGACCTGGACAAAAAAAACCAAAGCATAGATTCAGATTTACATTGGGATGTCTTTTAAAGACAGTCTGTAGGGGCAGAAAAAGATCAGATGATTAAATGCCAAGATTTGTCTTTTCAAAATGAAGTGTTTGATAGAGAGTCAACTACTGAGTAGGTGACTTCATTAGCTGAACTACAGTACAAACTAGGAATGCAAATTATTGATTAATACATTAATCTAAAGCAGATTAAATTATAAGAGGTAATTATCTTCAAAATCTCACACTTTTCTCTTGTATCAACTGCATCTTTCTATATTATGAAAAAAAATGGGGCTTAATTATGCCGAGTAAAACATTACATCATATTTACAAAATGTATTGTGGCAGATGTACTAAATGCTGACTGAAAACACACAAAAAAAAATGGTTTCCTTACACATTATTAAAATCATATATTTATGAGATAAAACAGGAACCCATTAGTTTATTCAATAAGAAATATATGAATAAAACAGTAATTTACAATAAACAGAGACGTAAAACTATCAATAAAAAAACGAGAAATGTCGCTCTGACACGCCCTCTATCCACTGTTAGATTGCCTTCCACTTCCTTTCAATGAGCCCAACCAGCTTTAAATCATTTAAGAGGCACTTTGAGTTAAAAAAAATAAATAAATAAGAAAAGAAAAAATAAAGTAACTGCAGGGATACTACAACTGGCTTACAGTGCTAAATAAAGGGCTTCTTAGATAGATCTGAAATACCCAGATTGGTTAAATTATCAGCTTTACATTTAGAGACAGTTTTTCCTGATCTCATAAAGCTTTTTTAAATTATAACTACAAAGATAATTTTATTTAATCTTTATGTGTTTACCCTCATTTAACAGTAACAATTTGGCATACTTTAAAAAAAAAGCCAATTTTTAAATTCACTCTTAATTCACTTTGAAACTGTGAGCAAATCTGCATAAAAAGCACAGAGGGGAGTCACATGAAAATATTCTATATGCAGGTTGGTCTGTATTACCTGAGAGGGCAGGATGGTTGGAGGCACTTGGTTGCGAAGGTTGGGCTGAGGTGGTTGGGACTGGGGGCCTCCTCGCCCCTGTGCTACGCTGCCGCCACCCAACATTGGGTTTACATTCTTTGGGAGCGACAAAAAAAAAAAAGAGAGAAATCCACAATGTTACATGAAGCTACTAAAACATGTATCCCACATAACTATTAAATAAAAACAGTAAAATAATAAATCTCTTAACAGTTTAACAAAGGACTGTGTTGAAAAATAACAGCCATGTTTTCTAAAAAGCAGACTTGGCGGAGAGTGAAAAAAAGCTCAAAGACAAATACAACCATCATCATCCTTCCACACTCACCTGCAGAGCAGCCCCAGAACTAGAGTGGGAAGGGGATGGCCCAGAGTTGAAACAGGGGATAGGCTGAGCAGAATTGCTAGGGGAAAGACTCATGCTTTGATTGGCGGAGAGCTCATCAGAAGCAGGGCTATCATAAGCAGAAAGCTGCAGAAAGAAAGGCCCGGGTGTGCACAGCAAATGGACGGCAAGCACAGAGGGACAGGAAGCACATCAGCAGCCAAATAAGCGCAGAGGGAAGGAGAAAAGAAACAAGGTAATTAATTTGATATAAAAAGGAGGGAGAAAGTAGACTCTGAAATCAAGAAAGCAAAAAAAAAAAAAGAGCCTAATATAAAAATAACAGCAAAGCAAAAAAATAGTGATAAAGTGAAAGAACAAAAGCAGTGAGGAAACTAAGCGAGAAAACAAGGTATGTTGATATAAACTATTTAAAGATCAGATTACTTTAAATACCTAAGAAAAATAAAAGAAAAGAAATGCTTCTAAGTGAGTAGACTTAACATTTTAAACCAAGGACAACATTTTAAGATCAAATTCAACACAAAGCTCTAACTTCTAACTCAGACATGCAATGTTTCAGTACCACCACTGGGGGGCACAACAGTGCACAGAAAGTAGCAGCTAATCAGACATGCCTCCCCCTAAAGCAGTGGGCTTAAATTCATCCTGAGGGGCGAGTGCCCTGCAGCTTTTAGAGTCCCTTACCCCCCATACTTGATTCGCCAGTTTAAACCAGCAGCAGAGACGCATCTAAAAGCAGCAGGACAGCAGCCCTCTTGGATCACCTCTGGGACCACTGCCCTTAGCTGCAACAACTAACCTTGTCAAAGTAAGAACGATCCAAGTCTTTGTGGTACTGGTGTCGAGAACCTGGGTTCTTCCCCATGACTCCATTGTAGTCTCCCATACTGCCCATGTCCATCCGTTTGTCTGTCCCCATGCCAGCTCCTGGCTTCATGGAGTCATCAGGGGAGTCTCTCTGCAGATTCAAAGGGGAAAATATCGGTTAAAGATGCAATCCAGGACTTTTTTCATAGAAAGTATTTGTTGGACTAGATATTAACATAAAACTTTCTTTTTTATAGAACTGCAAACAGATCCAGGGACTCTCTATTTTCTTAAATAAGGTTTTAACCAATTTAAAGAGTTTGTACCACTGAGCTATAGCCCAGTATTTTATCTCCTTAGCTAAGGTGCAATAAGTATTGTGTTTTAGAAGCAACTTCTCAAATTAACACAACAGTCATTGTGAATGTGTGAGGTGACCATTGGACACTTCAGCTGTAGTTGTGAAGTAGTTTGACTTTCTAAAAACACAATCATGCATTTTAAGAAATGACATTTCTTGACCCATTTCAGCTTCCAAGCTGCGCCATTACTGTTATTGTTGGCTAAACCTGCATTTGGATCCTGATCATTCTGTCATTTAAAGCCATGCAGTCAAACAGAAACTGATAGCAGTGACCTTTGAGCAGAAAGAGGAGAAGCTTACAGAGAAGGACATGCTGTTTAATTGGTTGATGATGGGTTTCATCCAAGGGTCGTCCTGTTTGTTCACCGGTTTGTTCATCTAAAACAGATTCACAAAGAGACTCCTGTCAGTTTGTCAGCAGAAAGAAAATATTCTGGTTCAGCTTTAAAAAGTTTCTGTCCTTTTTATGAACTTGTGTCTTTCAGTCAACAGACCTTATTGGGACCTTTCTGCTTGTAGTTCCAGGTGTTCTGATCCATAGACCTGTTGTCCTGTTGGTTGTTGCTCCACATCCCGATCTCTACCTCCTCCTCCTGATCCCAGCTATTGCCCATGGACACGTCACTCCCCCATGTCTCCATGGGCTTAGGACCTGGACATAAAAGACAATGAGGGATGGATGCAGTTGCCAGAAACACATTAAAACAGTATTAAAAAAACAAAACAAAAAAAACACCTGCTGTACTGTCCACTTACCAGGCTTATTCTGATTGCCCCATCCTGACCCAGACTCTCTCACATCCTTGTTGGGTTCATCCCAGCCGGCGCTGGTGTCCATAGGCTTCCCCCAGGCAGATGTTCCATTATCTACGGTCACAGGGGGCCCAGCTGAAGGCTCCCCCCATGATGAAGACTCCTTCTGCTGGGAGTAGGGCTCACCCCAACCTGGATAAAACAAGAGAATCTCATATGAACCACTACATAACTTCTGAATATGAGCAATAAAACCACTGGTTTAAAGAAAATAATCTCTATTCACCTTTTTTATTTAAATATCCAAGCTTAAGATGAGAAACAGAACATATGGGTTCAAAAGGCTCCAGTTACAGCGGACCACACTGACCTGCAACTTTCCCCTTTCACCAACGGCGTTTGGGGGGGATGCCGGGAATACCTTCTTATATAAATAGAACTGAGCATGGGGTAACCAGAGGTTCCAAATGTCCTCTGGAAAACATGCCTGCAGGTTTTGACTGGTTTAAACGCAGGTTTAAAGACAGACACAGGCGCCATTAAAATGATATAGTACACAAACTAAATTGTCATTGCTAATAATCTCTAGAGCTGCACTATATAAGAAAAGTTATGCAATAATGTGATTATCGTGATAACACCGTTTAGGTTAACTTGTTTACAATTCTGAATGACTCCACTACATTACCACTACTACACTAACTAGCGGTGCTGAATGCATTATAAGAATAGAATGGATCTATCACAGTTTGCTAAAATATATTAAATTCCTTGTAATGTGCATGTTGTGCATAGCAACATTACAACGTCGATCTTTTTGTGCAACACTAACATCTTGAAGGAAATAGAATCACATTAGGTGAGAATCAATCATTCTGATTCTCCAGTATTTAGGCAAAAATTAAACTATAGTGATTGATAATAATTAACCAAGTGTGTACTGACATTAATGAAGTAACTTTCCATTGAAAAGGTTATTTGCAGACTCAAGGCTAACATAATCACATTAACAGAATGTCACAGAGAGAAAGAAAAATAAAAGGGTTTATAAAGATCCTACTGATACATCAGATGTGTTTTGTTTACAAAGAATAGAAAATGAAATTAAGTTCTGCCATTTAAATGCTGTAAGATTTACATGTCAGTAATTTTACTTACATTACCCACCAATTTTTGATTTACCATAAACAGCTTCCTTGTCCATGCTGGAGGAAGCAGCGCCTCCCCCAGCTTGATATTGTCACCACTGTGTTCCACTTTTCTCCCCATTATTTTTTGTAAGAAATATTGCAATACTTTGCACTGATCCATTTCATGTTATATAGGAAGAAAAAACATCAAAGATGTGTAGTTGGGTGCATTACGAGCTTATAGATACTGCAGGGAGTACACTCCAGAAGGAACTGAAGCAGCTTCTTTCCTTCAGTTCTCTCTCAGGCTCTCTACAGAATAGCTTCCTTCTGAAAACAACCCCATTACTAACATAGCTGACCTCTATTACCATTCATGTTCTCTCTTGCTCTTTTCAACTCCAACCAAACAAAAGTGTATCCAAAGAAATGGCGGGTGAACAAAAAAAGGAAGAGGTGAATGAGGGATAAAAAAGGGTGCTCTTAGCATTCCAATGGGATGACTCAACTAGCATCGGAAAAAAAACCCTTAAAGCAAAAAAAAAAAAAACCCAAATAAAACAAAAAAAAGGAAAGTTCAATGAAATGGTTCTGCTGGCTTATTTCTTACCCATGCATCCAGGAAAACCATTTTTAAAGGTTGCATACAAGGTTACAACTGCATTTTGGTGCAGGACTTTGTTCCTTTTTTAACGCTATCCTAATTTTGCATTAAAGAACCGCTTTAAGTTTGCCTCATGTACCGTATTTTCACGACTATAAGTTGCACCGTACTAAAAGGCGCAGTCTCAGTTATGTGTCCCATTTCTGTATTTAACACACACATAAGGCGCACCGGACTATAGGGCGCGGGTTTTATATACAGGTACATGTCCTCTACTACGCTTAAATATCTCTACTGTGCATTTAAAAATAGAGCGGGAGCAAAAC